TATTGATCACCCGAGCGCTGAATTTTCCATTAAAGCGTAAGTAATTTCAGGTGGCTTACCGTTATCTATTTCGATGGGTATCCAAAAGATCGGCTGCTCTGAAGAGTCATTTCCAAGGTTTCCTACAGTTACTGCTACTGATAACTCGCTGTTCCCACCTTCATGTTTGGAAAGTTACTCTATTTTTTAAAGTGCTAACGCATTCCGAAAACGGAATCCAATTGTGTGTCGTCAGTGCAATAGTTTTACTCTTTTATCATATTTTTTCTTCCTTTTGTTCATCATATTCCTCTCCTTGTCTCTTCTCCCTGTTTTTACCTTCAGGTTTCATTTCCGTTTTTCTTTTTCTATGATTCCTCCTCTAGGACATTCTTATCCAATACGTGTAAATGCGGTTTATATTGAATTCCATCCATATTGAAAAGGTTTCTTGGGTTCCATATTCCTGAGTCATTCCCACGGCCTAGGCTCACTTTGGAAGGATTGAGAATATTCGGATGTCAGACTAGAACCTGGACTGAAATCGACGAATGTGGGAGAAAATCTTCCTCTTGCGCGTTTTCTGGTCCTTCGGTGTACTAGGGGGGACTTCCTGAGCTCTGAATTTCGGTTAAATGACATCGCGCAGACAAATTATTTCGACTTCGTATATCAATGAGTTACGAAAAAAAATATATTGACAACGTTTTATAGTTTTATTTTATATTCGTTAAAATTTCCTCGTTTTAGGGGTATGTATATAAGACCAGAAGCTTTACAACCATGTCCATAACGTTCTGCAATTATTGCCATCAACAGGACAACACAAATACCAAAAACCACGGGATGCAAGAGCAAAACCAGTGAAAATACTGCGGTGGAGCAGAACTTTTGACGCTTGGGTATGAGCCCTGACAGAGGCTGCAGGACGCTGGGTCGCGTGGGAATGCAATGATTGTGGTGAGGGTCTACATTCCTATTTGCAGTTGTTTTTGTTCTACTACATTCCAGTTATTTAGAGAAGTATTCAAACGTTGGTAACATTTACACACAAAGGAAAACATTTAATTGTTTTAAATTAATTAAAAATGGAAGTTGAATGGAATTTGGAAGATTTTACAAAAGTGCCCCTCATATGTTAATTATTCGAAATATTATTCAAAATTTATCAAACTTAGATCACTATACATAACTTGTAACTAGAACATTTAACTACAGCGTTATTCATTTACTGAGATTGTGGCTTCTGGAAATAATAATAATAATAATAATAATAATAATAATAATAATAATAATAATAATAATAATAATAAATTAACCTGGTCAGATGGCTGAGATCGTTAATGTAGTCGTGCCTTAGCGGTCTTGGACTACACGATCGTGGATTTGGGTCCCGCCTCGGGCATAGGTGTATTTGTGTTTGTATGTGTGTCGTTCTTTCATCCCCCATAATCATCATTTCATCTTCCATACCCCCTTCCATACAAATTTTGGTAAAAATGGATTCAGCAGAAATGCTGGTGTCCCCTAATAATGTTTCAGGGGCATACCCCCTAGAAAAATATGACTGGGTGGGTATATCTGCACGTTCCAGTGGTCTATAGAAAGGGCAATTGACGATGAAATAATAATAATAATATAATGATAATAATAATAATAATTAATTAATGAATAATAACAACAATAATAATAATAATAATAATAATAATAATAACAACAATAATAATAAAGTCTTCATTAATCGTGTGGCAAAATGATATGGTCTTTACTCCAGGGAGATAAAACAAGGATCCAATATGTCATATGTATATGCCTAAAGGCTTGAACGAAAGAGGAACCGAAAAAAACCTACAAAAATGGTGGCTTATCAACAAAATAAAAAAAGAAAAAAATCATAAAATGTAAGGATATATAGTTACAATAGTGAAAACAAAACACCTAAAATTTTTAGTATATTTTAACTAGTAAAATTGAATAAAATTTGACAAATAGGTTGTAACCTACATATTTTTGAAAAGGCATATTAATGTTCAAAATACATTGTAACAGAGTTAGTGAATGTGTCTACAAAGAATGTTTACTAATGTCACGTATTTATTATTTTATACATTTTATTTCTGGTAAGGTGCAAAAAATTGTAACATTTAGACAATTTAAAATTTTAACATCGTTTCTAAAAAAGTTGTATTGGGGATTACAACTTTTTTTTATCAAAGATAATAAATTGTAACATCCCTTTCTGAAATTGTAAAATGTAAACACACCGCCCTGGTGTCGAATTAGTTACTACACGACGTTTTAACCATAGAGCACAAGTGTCGATCACCGATACGGCGTCGACAACTCGAATTCCACAGGGGGTGCGCGTGAACGCGGTCGACACACCGCGGCGTGTAGCGAGCGTACTTCTGGCAGCGGGCGCGAGCGCGGCCGGCGAGCGTGGTGGCGAGCGGTACGCGGCGGAGGTGACTGCGGCGGCGTTGGTGTCGTCGGTGTTAGCGGCGGCGGTGGCGTGGAGCGGGGGCGGGGGCGGCAGATTCGGTTCCAATCAGGCCTCTCTGTCGGGTGTACAGAGGCAGGCGAGCGGGCGGGCGGAGGCAGAGGTGCGGTGCGGAGTGCAGAGATCCAAGGGGATTCCCCGTAGATTGGACGTAGCGCCAGGAGCTCGAACGACCTCGCCCGGGCCGGGGAACTGCTGCAACGGGCAGGCGCGGACGGCTCTGCGGGGCCTGCAGAGGCTGTAGGCGCCGGTGAAAGGTGTGATGGCGGGGTGTGTGTGTGTGTGTGTGGGGGGGGGAAAGTCCGACCACGCGACGCAGATGCACTCGCGCGCTCTAATGGAAATTATACTCTGAAAGTTTCATGCGTCTCCGAGCTTTTAAATTGGAATAGTTCCGTCTAAGCCACTCCCCCTATGTGGGTTTTGTACTAATTGTTGTACTCATGTGTCCCGTTGGGGTTCAAATACTCAAATGGTGCTTTGTTTGTTGTAAGCAGAGTTATTCCAGCTATCCCATGGAATGCATATTGAATATACTTTTAAATATATTATAAAAATAATGACAAGTATAATAAGAAACGAAGTCATTGGGGCTGTTAAGTTTTAGAAAGATAGCAAGTCTGATATCAAAAAGGTGTTTGGCAAATTTATAGAAGAAAACATGAAATCAAATTATCCTTTCTACAGAAAAAGGAAATCCCTCCCGCACCCTCCCGCACCCCTCCAGTTCAAAAGTAACTATTTGGTTATATCTAAGAAGACATTAAAAGAAACTTCAGTTAATAAACTGTGTTAATTATCTCATTTTATTGACAAACAATAACCAGTGTCTTATCATTCTCGTGCTATCATTATGCTCGTACCTGTATTTCCCTCTATTTACCCAATATAAGCGTCACTAAATTGCCAATTATGATTACATTTATTATTAATATGATTTTCTTCTCAGAAAAAGCTAGTACGAAATCCGTGAAACAGTTGACACAAGTGACGATACTTTCAAAAACTTGCATCTATATTTAAACTCTGAGAGTCTCACGATAGTTGCATTTTTCATTTTTAATGCTTGCTAACCCCCTTCCTTTTCTTCGACTAACGCAATTCAAAGAAGGTATTATATGCCTTCTGTTTAAACTGATATTTGACTGAACCTTTCTATTTTCCCCTAAAAATGTATGAAATATTTTCATTATAATCTTAGGATATGAATGAAACATTTTATGCAGTGTGGAATGTTCAAATCGTCGGAGGCGGGAATCGACGAATTTACCCGAAAAACCGTTCAAATGAATCTTCGTCGGCACATTCTAAATGAATCTTCAAAATGTCCTTGAGAAAGTTTTCTTTCACAGTTTCCTTTACAAAGGTTTCTGGATTTGACATTTCAAATTAAGTTTAATAATTAAATTAAATTAAATTAAATTAAGTTAATTGAATTTATGAATGAGGCACGTAGATGTGGTTTTATTGTGTCAATGACAGGGACAAATCAATATTTTCAAGCTGGAGACACCTACACGAGGAACCTAGTTGTTGATTGTTTCGTTGACAAAGAAAAATTAATACTTCTCAATTAGAGGACATCAAATATTCTAGGTCAGGCAGGTCAAGGTCGCGGGCACTGAATAGCTTAGTAGAGTTCGCGGGCACTGCGAGCAGAGCAGCTGGCGCGAGATTTAAAAATAAGTGTTGTACAGATGGCTCCGTAAAGACGGTTCATCATACCACACCTGGCCCATGACATACTTTTGGTGAAGTTAGGTAACAAGATTACCTCAAATTCTGCTGTATCAATTCTCTTTTCTCCTACTAAAGCGAAGAAGTTATCTATTAAAATATGTCAGTCAGATTTCAAATTGTCAATTCAGAGAAAAATTGAACATTCAGAATTGAAAGTATTTTAATTTTGTAATTGCATTTTCTCAAAAGTGGAATATTTACATTAACTTCCTACGTTCAGATTACGAGGATTAACAAATATCCTTGATTGTTAAAAGAGCTTCCTGCCTAGCAAGACTTGTTATTGTACAGAAACTTGTAAATTTATTTCTCAATATTGCATGAATTACCTGGTTAATTTAATAAAAATATAATTCAAAACGGAAACTAATTTTCCATTCAAATACATTTCTGTCTCTTGGTCAAAATGTTTATACAAAGCAGAATTTAAAAAGAAAATAAACAAGAAATAGTAATGAACAATTATGAATATATACATAATACAAATCTCGGTTTTTTGCTAGAATAACAAGTAGCAAACATATTTTCGTAGGAAGCCACTTTTTCCCGTCTAACACAGCTTCCCCTTGCACATGTACACCCCTTTCTGGATTTGGAGGGAAAGTGGCAGCGGAGTCAGGGGAAGTTTCATTGCTCGTAGACACGCCAGACCAGCAAGTAGCTCATGCGGAAGCAGTTTGACGTGCCTGCCCCGGGGGGAGGTAAACACAGGCAAGCCCGGCCAATTCGCACCCTGCGTGAACCCCAGGCGCCTTCGTGCGCTTGCACGTGAGAGACTCACTTGAGCAGCGTGATGCCCTCCTGGACGTCCCGCACGGAGAAGCGCTGCATGTGCTCCCACAGCTGCTGGTTGGCCACGTGCACGTAATAGTCGGCTGCAGAGGCGCGCGGCGCCCCCACGCGCTGGCTCAGCAGCTGCAGAGCGGCAGATGATGACAAAATACGTGTTTGTTACACGTATATTTAATTATAATTGCTTAAAGCATGTTAGAGTGTAGTGTTTCTAATATATGTGAATCACAATATTTCTGTTGGACACATCTATGATTACCATCTGGCGAATTATGCTACTTGTAGTCTAAATAAATTTAAATGGAATAATTTTAAATTGTGCATTCAATGCCAAAAACTAATTTGGATATAAAAGTGAGCAGTAGACTGAGAGTCAGTTATTTAAAAAATATTGTATGCTGATCTCAATCGTTTAGGTGTTTGCTTCTGTTAGATGTGTTTATGAAATACGTACTTATTTAAGCGGGCAAATATTTTTAACAATCCTTTCTGATTTAGTATATCCTTATTTTATAATTTATATGTAACTATGAAATCTGTGTTTGTCTTACTTGTGAAGTAAAAAAATCGTTCATTTAAATCGCTAAAATATAAGTGAAGCCAATGAAAATTAACACATTGCATTAAATTACTAACAAAAAATGTTCAGACGTTTGAAATAAAACGTTTGAAATGATTACGCCATCATTCAGCCAAAAAATATACAACGAACAAATAAAATATTTAGGACTTCGATATGATTTTCCCCAAAAAATATTAATATTCAAATTATAGAATGTTTTAATAATCAATTAACCTAAACACGAAGATTGTTTAGGTTAATTGATCACTATATCAATTAAACTACAATATCGTCAGACAATCTTCATTTGTGTGATATAAGAACTATTTGACTGCAAAGCGGTAACCTTCAACTAATTTTATGTCATATTTTGCAAATAGTGTCTAAAATAACGAAAGAAATGCAATTTTGAAGGAAATAGTTTCGCTGACAGTGGGTGGAAAAACAGCAGATCTCGATTATTGTGATAAATATAATTGGTTTTTCAATTTAAAAAATAAATTAGTTTGATTGCCAACCTAGGAGTTTTTCTATACTATTAAATGTAACTTCATGATACGATTGTATGGTAATATAAAGATGAGTTCATAGAATCAAACTAAATTTGAAAGACATGTTAAAAGGAATGAAGGAAGAAATGCTATAAAAATTTTCACAAATAAAATGATTACATCGCTGGGAGACTATAGAATATACTGTAATAACTACGGAAAAAAAGGAAATTCAAATATAATAGAAATCGACATAATAATCGATATAATAAAAATAATGGTTCCATAATATATGCAACAAGATTTATTTCGAAGTGATTAATATTTATAAAAATATTTAATATTTCAGTACAAATACACGAGTCTCTTTAGTACTCGTCACTTTCCTCATTTCACTCCGTCTCTTTAGTACAAATACACGAGTAATTTCTGCCCAAATGTTGTGAGGAGTGAAAACATCCTAGATAGCTGACCTGGCAAATCTAATCAGCAAAGCAATGCCACGCTCTCCGCGCCCGACACCACTGTGAAATCGAAACCCCCGGCTGTATCTCCTCGTCTGTATCACACCGTCGCTTACGACATGGGGCTGTTTGCCATCGTGTTACGAGGATTGACTGTGCTTCTCGCTAGACCCATCCATTCACGGCTTCGGGGCCCTCGTTGGGGTAATTGAGTCCTACATGTGGTTCCTGCGCCACCGTTCGAGTGGTGAATTATCTACACCACTGTTTACGCACGCGATAGAGAACCCACACGTTATTAGTGGACGATGACAGAAAGCCTACAACTGAATTATGTGGTTGTTTTGTGAAAAAGCGTTGGCATAAATCGCATTCATAGGTGAAACTCTGTTAGTGAATAGGATTTTAAGCTATTGCATTAGTACGAGTAACATGCTGAAGTTGTTAAGTGTGCTTCCAAAAATTTGTTTGTTCTTTTCCAGTTTTGCTGCTAGCTTTACAGTAATTTCACAAAGAGTGGCGCATTATTTTGAATAAAAGATAAGAAAGATTACACCGTTACGCGGACCGGCAAAAACAAAATAAAGTAGTGCGAAAAAACACTCGAATGATTAAAAGCTTTAATTTGATAAAAAGAAAGACACTCGTCGTAATTTCTTTTCTGACCAGAAAAAAACTATTTTATCTCAATAAAAAATGAACGAAAATTTTGAGACTATTTTTATTGAAAAAGAACTTAAAAAGTTATCGAACGTCATAATTTTTTAGCCATCAAGACTCTTTTAGAATAATGAAATACAATTAAAAAAGAAATGTTTTTTCTGAATGTATTAGTATTACAATATTTTTTCATTAACTATAATTAATTTTAATTATATTTATTGATATATATTATTGAAGTTAAGATTAAATTTGCTTATTTATTGACATGTATATTAAGATATTTTGTAATATATATTAAAATAACAGAGATGTCTTTCTCTTGTGGATTTTACTTACCTATAAAATTGTTCATTTTGCATGTGAGATTTAGAAACTAATACTTCCTCAAATCAAAATTTCAATTTGTGTTCAAAATTCTTACGGTAAATTATCATTTAAATAAAGAACGTTTCGAAAATAGTTTGTACAAAACAGCTTCTAAATGCTGTAAGACATGGGTAATTATAATTAGAAGTTATTTTCGTTGCAATGCTGACTTTCTTTACAATAGGTTCAGGTATATTAACCAGGAACTAAATAACCTTGGTAAACTTGTCAGTTATTCATTATTAGGATGAAAATATTCATTTATTCTAAAAGGTTATAAAGTTGTCGTTTCTTTGTTGCCTCAAAATTATTTTTGGACGGTTGGAATAATATTTTCGCCAGAAAGTGGACAGTTCAGCAATACAGTCAGACCGCCGCCGCGACGGATTTCGTGTCAGCCAGTCCTGCAACTTTTGTCACTCCCACGCAAAATATTAGCCTCTCCTGTCCCCTTCCAATCACACGCTTTCGTGGTATTCGCACATCGGCTCTCTCTCTCTTGTAGCCGCTTCTAATGGTGCGGCTGTCGTGAACCATCGTCAGTTCTCTTTCACCCGGTCCCGATTTTATTAGGTTGTTACATACGTGAATGATGGTTGTCTTTTAGAAGAAAATTTAGCAGTTAAACGTTTAAAATCTATTTTTCTGATATTTAATAGGTTTATAAATGTTTAATAGAAGGAGAGACAACGCGTTATTTTCACAAAATTCAACGACTCTCTGAAGTTTTACTCCAAAACTTTGAAAATTTTCAACTTTTTACAGTTTAATTTTATTGGTTTTAATTTTCTGTGTAATATATTTTCAAGGTAATAAGTACGGAAGCCGAATGTCTCTACTTGATCGCAAATTAGGAGAAAATTGAATTAAAATAAGTTTATAATTCAATTTTTCAAAGGTTTTCCGTAACAGCATGTTCTTTAAGTAATTTTACAAGAATTTTAAAGAATCTAAAATACTTTCTGGAGGAGAATAAATACCTACTCTTTTGTTGGAGGTCTTAATTGGTCCTCTAAGCTGTTAATTTGATCTTTTAAATATAAAATAATAGAAAATTGAGTAAATCTAGATCAATCAAGTGCAGATTTGGGAGTTTCTTTAGTACAGAATTTACGAGAAAGAAAGTGGATTAATAAAATGTTTTCAAGGAAGCTGATAAGCCAATACGATACAAAAAGCACATTTCTAGTTTATCTCAGTAATATACGTAGTGTTGCCTGACACGCGCGTTATAAATACGCGTACGAAGTGTTCTACATTTTCACTCTTTTGAAGAGCAGCTGGATTCCGTTACTAAATGCAACAAATTCTTAGTGACAACCTAACTTGAACTTACTGACAAGATTTATACAAATTTAAAATTATTGTCAATTCGAGTATCATGAGTTCGTGCCAGATAGTTTATTTCTCAGTTTTACTGTTCCGATATCTTTCCGATTTTCTGTACTGACAAAATTAATTAAAAATGTTCTTAACACTCCACCTAAACGAAATAATGAACAAGGTAATATTTTAGTTTTACATATAGCTTTAAACTATGTTTCCAAGTAATATAGTTATATCTGGAATATTTAATTTTACATATTTGTAAATCTGTATATCACAGACAGAATTTTCTTCGTTTCTCTGTTATGTAAAGAGCAAATCTTTTGTAATTATGAATTGGATCTTACTATTAGGAGTGTTTGTATTTGTTACCGTAAGTAGCGGTACACAAATAATGATATGTATCACAACAAAAACCTTGTCGATTCCTAGCAGAAATATTTGCCCACCAAATATAAATGAAAGCCAGATCTAAGGATAATAGAAGCATGATCGAAAACTAAGAAAGAGAAATAAAAGCTAATACGAAACATTAATTAAATTATCGGTTTCATACAAACTGATCGCCTATACCGCAACGAGCTTTAACTCACCCCTCGGTCGTGGTAGTCGGACACCGAGTTGTGGAAGAAGAGGCCTGCGATGAGGGCGGCGATGTTGGCGGTGTAGCTGGCGACAAAGATGACGGAGAAGCCGCCCCACACGTTGATGAGGAACTTGTTGGGCCACGACTTGGGCGCCTTGAAGGCCACCAGGTGGCCGCACAGCAGCCCCCACATCACCCAGAGCGCGGACGCGATGCTGAAGTTCTTGGAGCGCTGGCGCCCCCACGGGTTGAGGCCGAAGGGGCTCAACCACTCGTACACGGCCACGGCCATGGCGGTGATGTTGAGCGACGTGAAGATGGCGATCCACAGCTCGGGGCTGAAGGGCAGCAGGAAGGCCAGCAGCGGGATCTCGCTCTTCTGCGTGGGCGCCGCCAGGAAGGACACGCCGCTGAAGAAGTACGGCACCGAGAAGTCGATCACCTCCGACCTGCGCGACACAGAAACGCCAATTGTATCAGGATGGAAATACGAAGCGCAAAAGCCGCTCATGCGGCGCGGCCCTCATACGGGCCGCAAAGCACGCTCATGCGGCCCGAAGGGTCTTCTGTATTGGTCTTTTGAAAAATAAACAATCATGGATTTTTTGGTCATTTTACAAGCCTACAACATACCATTTTTTGTGAAACAGAGCAGTATGTTTATGAAACAGTCTAACAGTTTCCGCTAATTCAATGTTATCTGTAAGCATGCAATAGCTTCTATCAATCCAGTCCAGATAATTAAACCTAGATACCAAGCTCTTTTTGACGTAGTATTAATGTTATTGAATAGTTACTAAATATTTTAAAGTTGTTGGGCAAAATGTAAGTTGGAGATATGTGAGACTCGTGAGCTATTGGAGGTTTGATAATCTGGCTCGCAGTTACAAAAAGGTTGCCGACCTCTAATACAGACCTAAGCCACAGTTTTGAAAAAAAGAACCTTTTAGTGTAATTTATTCAGAAGAAACGCAGTCAGCAGTTCGTCTGCCTGTAGTATGATTAGGGAACAGATTGCCTTGAAGATACCCATTGTTCTTCTAATTCTAACATACGCCGTACTGTTATCTGAAAACTAGGTTTTTGCTCTCCTGGAAAATGTCATTCTTGTGACTGTTTTTTCTCATTACCAACGCTTCATAAATAGAATGGACCATGTAGTGGCGGTTAAACACTAGTACTCCCAGCGGCGCCAAGTCAGCGCCGGGCATGGAGCGCTGCCATAGGGGTTCGGAGAGGGGGGAGCGGTGGCAGGGGTCGCGGTGAAGGGTAGGCGGAGGGTGTTCCCCCTCCATCGCCCCTCGCCAAGGCAGCTGTACCTCGAACGTTTGGTGAACTTGTGACGTCGAGATTGTGGACTATTGGGGTTGATTCTTGCTTACTAAACTACACTTCTGGATGATTTCGAGTTGACTGCGCCTTTTTGGTTGCAATCGTTATTGATGACTTAATGTTTTGATAAAAACATCGACCTCGATGTCGCATCCTGCCTCGTGTTTATACTCCCATTTAGACATAGTGGCACATCTAGGTCACGAGCTGCACAGAGAGGGGTACACTTACATCCAATCGGGAACTTCGTTTCGACTTCAATTTTTGGTAATGGAGCACCTGATTGGATGGCAATGCCCCCCTTTCCTTCCAGCTCGTGACCTTGAGGTGTCACTGTGTTTGAATCGGAGTGTAAGCCCGACGGCACGTGACTCACCTGGCGCTGGAGACGCTGAGGGCGGCGAAGGACATGTGCGCGGCGCCGGACACGAGGTCGCCCACGATGCCGTTCCACTTGGCGGCCGAGGGCGCGCCATCCGGCCCCAGCGTGCGCGTGCGCGACCCGAACGCGCCGTCCGACACGATGTACAGGTGGAAGTCGAACTCCAGCTCCTGCGGCCCACAACGCGCGCTCACGTTGGAAGGAGGAGGCAAGCTTGCGATATACAAGTTGGTGTGTAGGTGTAATATATATGTGTTTAAGTGTGTCAAGTGAAAGGAAGAGCGCAGAGCATGGATGGAACGGTAGTGACAGTCGGAAAAAGAGGGTGAGAGAGAGAGAGAGAGAGTAAGAGATTGAGAGAGGTGGAGAAAGAGAGTGAGAGAGAGTGGGAGAGAGGGGGTGAGAGGGGGTGAGAGAGGGCGAGAGGGAGAGGGCGAGAGGGAGAGGGCGAGAGGGAAGAGGGCAGAGGGAGAGTGGCGAGAGGAGAGGAAGGTGAGAGGGCGATGAGGGAGAGGGCGAGAGGGAGAGGCAAAAGGAGAGGGCGAGAGAGAGGTGAGAGAGGTGTGAGAGAGAGGTGTGAGAGAGAGGTGTGAGAGAGGGTATGAGAGAGGGGTGTGAGAGATGGTGAGAGAGAGGGGTGGAATAGAGAGGGTGGAGAGATGAGGGTGGGAGAGAGAGGGTGAGAAAGAGGGTGTGAGAGAGGGGGTGGGATAGAGAGGGTGGGAGAGAGAGGGTGAGAAAGAGAGGGTGTGAGAGAGGGGATGAGAGGGAATGAGAAGGAAGCAAGGAAAGATGAAGTCAGTAAACAAGGGAAATATAGAGAGATAATCTGTATTATTTCTTCATTACGATGCCAGTGTCAAAGCGGTATGACGATGTCTACAAATGGGTGAATGGTTTGAAGAATGATGGTTATAAGGGCATGAATGACGATGAAAGAATGGTGGAGGGGGAGGAAGAGAAAACAGGATACTCTCGAGAACCTTTAGGAAACCTTCAGGCTTGGCCCACCACGAATTGATCAAACGGTATTTGAACCAGGTCTCAGTGATGAAAAGTGAGCAGTCAGACCGCTTCTCGTCTGGTCACCATTCATGCGCATTGATGAGTATGCTCGTGTACAAGGTGGTGAGAGATTGCAGTATGAGAAGGAGGAGAGCATGACAATGATGGAGAGATCTCGAGTGTAAAAGTGAGAGAAAAATAACGAGACGGAAAGTGAAATAGAGAGACTATCAGCAAGTAATTTAATGTTGTAATGAGGTTTTGCATTTGCTTTTTCGAATAGGTTTTAACTCTCACTTATTATGGGATATATTCAGAATATATGATCATTGACATTAAATATACACATATCCGTTGACATCCGTAAATATGAATAGTCTTGTGTAATCTACATTTTTCTAGTGATCAACATATGCGTATATTGCCATCCTATGATTTCTTGAAATAATACCAAGCATTGTTACAAAGGCGTAGTCTGACACTCTAGTTTAGGTAAAATAATGTAAAACTCATTTTTACAATGAAATATGAAATTTAATAGATTGAACGTGTGTGATATGTATACATTTTAAACGATTTTATAGATACATTTACATTATTTGACTCTCACAGCAAACATTTCCTTGGTTCATCCAATTAATATCTATCCTCTATCTTAATATCCTCTCTCAATTATTCTCATGAAACGAGCGGACTCTCAAACATACTTCAAAGAAAAGACAGGTGTAACAGCAATTGCCCCAGATAGAGAAGCGGTTCATTTGACGTTCACATATTTAAGCTCGCAAGACAAATTCTGTCTCCTCTTGCATTTACTTTCGGTCCAAAGAGAATTAATTTGGCTCTTCTTACATACACCATCGCATCAGAGGGAATACGTAGTGATGTAGCCTAGGTTTGCAAAGTCTAGTAGAGAAGATGATGTTTTATTTTTCCCGCGCGCCAATTTTCAAGTTCAAATATGCAAGTATTTTCTGAAAGTGATATGTGATCTGTTGTTTTAAAAATTCGCCAAAATGGTATTGTGTATCAAAATTTGATTTTGAAAGAGAACTGAAAAATATTTGCATAAATGCGTTAATGGGTATTGTAATATGGCAATAAGAACGTGCGCAGGGTTAGGGTATGGACGCATTGCTGATGTTTTATGTAATTTGTGCTAGCTGAAAAACGAGGTAACTGTCCCAACTAATCTCGGAATTCTTATGCTCTTAGAATGCGCCAAAGTTGCCGGTTTTTAACACTGAATTTGGAGAGTGGTTTAGAGCGAGCGAATTTGACTTCTGAGTAATTTTTACCTTCCTGGCCTAAGAAAAAGATCTATTTTACGCAAATCGTGAAAATTATATGATTATTAAATATTAAGAGAGGTAGATCGGACTGATGGCTTAGAGGCCAAAAAAGCATATAATAATAATAATAATAATAATAATAATAATAATAATAATAATAATAATAATGATGAATTACGAACAGAAAGCAGAAAGCAGTAATCTTGGCAACATGTCACATAGTTCGCAAGTTCTTGAAAAAAATTAGGCTCCCATATCGGTTTTGGGGGTCAGAGTGAAATCTCTCCTCCCAGTGGCCGAACTCTTTTATTAATGTGGCAGGAATGGATAAATTGAACCCAGCACAAGCTGCTGAGAAAATAATAATAATTAATAATAATAATAATAATAGTAATAGTAATAGTAATAGTAATAGTAGTAATAATAATAATAATAATAATAATAATAATAATAATAATAATAATAATAATATATAATAATAATGTTTGATTGTATCCACTGACCTGCGCGACGTTCTCGAGCAGGTCCATGGCGAGGCCGTAGCAGCAGTTGGTCGGTAGCGTAGCGCTGGGCCGCGCCGCGGCCGCCGCGTTATCAGGAGGCGGAGGCGCGTGTGGAGGCCGGTCGCGGGCGGCCCCCGCTCCCGCCTCTCTCGATCCGCCGACGCCCGCCCGCCTCCGCGCGCACGCCGGCCTCGCCCCGCCCCGCGCATGCCCCCCCGCCCCCGCGCCGCCCTCCGCCTCCGCGTCGCCCTCGGCGCCCTGCTCCTCCTCCGCGTCGTCCAGCCGCTCCTGCGTCTCCAGCTCGTTGAACACCAGCGTCAGGTTGTCCTGCAACAATCGAGGTCACTGCACGGCCCCGCCAAGGATCTCTCCGCGGGATGAGGTGGTTTAGGACGACAACTGATGTCACCGATCGGGAGATCCTAGGGTTTCAGTCCCTAACGTACCAGGACACTAGCTACGTTGTTACATGTTACATTAAATCAAAAACATCTCTACAATTCAGTAGTAATCATCATTATGTTTTAAAGTGGAAATCGCCTTCATTTGAAAGACGTGAATATAATCCAGATAACCGCGATAAAATTGTACTTTCTGTAAGAAAGAAGCATTTACTTGCAATATTGTTTTGCACAATATTCTGTAATATTTTAATTTATTGCGAATTTTTAACTTATTGGTTAGAATTTCTATAACTAATTTGAATACAAATTAACCATGCGACCTACAATGCAGTGACCGTAAGCGTAGAAAATAATTGGAAATTCAATAACGGCGTGTGCATATTAAAATTCTGATCATTTCGGCCATTTTTTGCCGGGTTTGTTTTGCATATCAAAATATGTTTTAAATATATCGTTTATACTCGTATGTGTGTTTTATTATCGTGTCAACGTCATTGTGTTCAGAATAAATAATGTATTCCAAAGAAGTATTCATTTGTGAGTATTCAAAGATATGTGGTAATTTTTTATGATAATTGGTACATCAGAAGACATTCTATTTTTTACAGTGTGTGGCAGACTAGCCCAACATTTACTGAATGTAAGCACCACGCAAGAGAAAGTAAAACTTCATGATTTTAAGATAAATACGAAAAGTAAGATTTCACCATAGGACGACTCATTTTAGGGCCGACAAGAACACATTAGCGTCTTCTGCTCGATTTGACAAACATATATTTACTGGGAGCTGTTGCTGACAAATACCACGTGCGTTCTCAAGTATTTCACATCGATTTCTCTTGATATATAACGTCAAGAAACATGTTCCTATTGTGAGCTAAAGCGAATAGAATACTTTGAAATATCAGCGAGGGAAAGGTACAACTACAAAGCGCAACGAAAACCGCAAAGTTGTTATTTCTTGGAATTGTGATGTGAATTACAAAACTTATACATCGCGCGCGGCTCATAAATGTATTTCAACGGATGCGTTCTGAGAGAAAATATCCGACATATTTTGAAATTATATAAAAGGAATGGAAAACAATAATATTCGAATTAACACTGACATGTAAAGGGAGTACAAAATATCATTGTCGAATTCTGAAGAGAGTACTTTCACGACATTGAAAATTAACTAATAAAGAATATAAAACAAGAAAACCTACAATTCATAGAATCTAGACAATATCAAAGAATATTTTAACTGTTTTCATGAAAAATGGACAACAGCACAATTATCAGAAACTGTGCAGAAACATAGTGCAAAAACGTTAGACAAACGACGATCCATGATTACAGTGGCAATGAAGACTAGAAAAGGCAAACCACTTTCCAATCAAAAGGAGGATGCAACAAAATTGAAAAAAATTAACTGCATTAATATATCTGATGTGAAAACAGGGAATTATTTATTGGTAAAATTACTAAAAGAACACTAGCGTATTTTTTTACATCTGAAATGACTCTCCCTGCATTTTGTCATGTTAGTGTACCAAACCTTAAAAATATTTATCCAAATCAAAGCGATATAATTGATTTTAGATTATAATTTATTTTATTATTTATACAAGTATTTTCACAACTAATATTCACTCATTTCACACATTAAAATATCAGTGGCAAGATTTTTTTTAATAATTTTCTGAATGATTCTGTGGTTTACGGAACACATAGTGCATGGATTTTTCTGTAAATTCGTAATTAATAGAGCCAATATATCACACAGAGAATTTAATCAGAAGAGCACTCACCTTGGATGAGAGAACGTGATGCCAGGACAGGCCGTGCAGGCACAGGGTGCCGAAAGTGCACTCACCTTTTCAGAGTGATGACGCAGCCAGAGCAGGCTCTGGAGGTGAACTAAGCACTCACTTCACGAAAGGTTGGAAGTTGGTGGCGAGGCTCGCCTTACATTTACTGGATGTGAAGTAGGCAGTCTTTTGTAGGACGTGATTGCGCGGGTGCAGGACATGACATTCAGGCACTGGGGGGGGGGGAGTCGGAACCCATGAAATAACGTCAGGGGCGTGGTGAAAAATATGCACACCTTCACAGGTGTAACACGCATTCACTTTGTCAGAGGTGACGATGCGGTGGTGGTTCGGCAGGGCGTGCTGAGAGTGAAGACCGAAATGCACTCTTTTCAGAATCTATTGGCGATATGGTAGCCTCCAAGGGCTTTGAAGGCTGTGTAAAACATTCATCAATGGGGTGCAGATACGGTCACAGGGCAGATTGTCCAGGAATTAAACACAAGCTCGCACCCGTCTTGTGGGAGATGGGAACATGGCGGCTGGGTAATTGGATCGAAGTGTGCACTCCCATTTTGGACGCGGAGGCAGGGCACGGTATGCAGGCACTGAGCTTGCATTCACTCTGTCGGAGGCGAGAACGTCGTGATTCGGCAGGTCGTGCATGAAGCAAAGTGGGGACTCACCTAGGCAGAGGTGATGACGTAGAACCACTGGAGGCAGGCACTGCACTCACCGTGCCGAAGGTGGCGGCAGATAGCGTAGGAGCCCGCGAAGGCTCCAGCGATTAACTGAGCACTCACTTTATCGAAGGTGAGGACGCGGTGGCACGGCAGGCCGCAGAGACACTAGAAATGAAGTGGGTACTCACCTAGGCAGAGGTGAGAGTAAGGAGCCACTGGAGGACATTACATGCACATTGCCGAAGATGGCGAAGGATCTGTGAAAATGAAAAGGCTCTAGAGAGAGCACTCACCTTGTCGGAGGTGAGGCCGAAGTGGCATGACAGGCCGCAGAGACTCTGGCGACAAAGTGGGTACTCACCTAGCCAGATGTGAAGGTGAGGAGCCACTGGAGAATGACACTGCACTCACCTTGCCGAAAGTGGCGAGTGCTCTGCGAAAATGAGAAGGCTCTAGAGAGAGAACCTATCTTGCCGGAGGTGAAGACGTGTAGCCACTTGAGATCGACCCTGCACTCACCTTGCTGAAGATGGCGAGGGCTGCACTCACCTTGTCGAACATGAAGACGTGGAGTCACTTAAGGTATACCCTGTTCTCACCTTGCCGAAGGAAGCAAGAGCTCTGGGAAGTTGAGAAGGTTCTAGAGAGAGCACTCCCTTTCTCGAAGGTGAGGACGTGGAGTCACTAAAGATTGCACCTTGCTGACAGTGGCGAGGGCTCTGCGAAGACGTGGAGCACCCACCTTGTCGGAGGTGAGGACGAGCAGTCACTTGAGATCGATCCTGCACTCACCTTGCCGAAGGTGGCGAGGGCTCTGCAAAGACGGGGGAACCCACCTTATCGGAGGTGAGGACGCGGTGGCACGGCAGGCCGCGCAGGCACTGCCCGTCCTCGTCGAGCTCGCCCTCCATGACGAAGGGCGGCGCGAGCGCGGTGACGACGCGGAAGACGGAGCGCGCGCGCGCCGACAGCCCGGCCACCACCAGCTCGCCGCCGGGCCACACGATGGTGTCGAGGCGCACCGCGCGCCCCACCACCTCGCCCACGGGGCGCCACACGCGCTCGGGACCCGCGTCGCCCGCACCGGCGCTCTCGGCCTCCAGGACAGCGCCGGCCGCGGACGCCCCCGCAGCGCCGGCGCCAGCGCCGCCTGGCGGGCACACGCACGCACGCGCGCGTCACGCCTTCCATCCACGACGAGTTGCACTCGCAACATTGGATCAAATGTTGCTATCAGTGTAATGCGTGGGTAACTCAATAAATAAGTCAGTTTATCTTATACCATGTTTATATTACATTAGGTAGATTTATTATTTCTGCAGGTCGGTTTATACAACCTGGTGGCAGAGCACAACAATTAACATATTACAGTTAGAAATTTTGATACAATGTAATTTTAAAACAATAACGCGTGCGTATTTTACTGGCTTATAGGGGCAATGTAGGCGTATGGTAGAGGCTGCGGGACATCGCGGTCGCAGTCACGCACGGGAAGTTTAAATCCGAATCCTTTTCCGTGTCGAGATATATATTTACTTTATTCTCCTATTCCGACAGGAAAAGGAATGCATTCCGTGTAAAACGGAATGACTGTATGTACAGATGTAAGTTTGTATCACAAAGAACTCTCTCAGATAATAATATATTGACTTTGTATTAAAATAGTGTAGCGTCGTGCCACGCTCAAAACTGACAACCACGTGGAAATCGGCGAAGCATCGTCGGATGTTATACAAAGGGCGGAGTTATGACGCACTGGGACTTTCCGTGGACGTAGCGGGCCCAGAGCGGCTTTAGGGAGGAGGAAATGGGGTCTGCGGGAAGAGCCAAAAGGGCCTATGTAAGGCTAGGAGAACAATCACCCAGTCTTCTTGTTCTAGCGGCGTCGGCGACAGGTGAAGCGCGTGTCTGTGCATGTAGGTGCACTAGGGCGAGGGGCCGGCAATTCATTGTTGTAACTTGCGGGACGCGTAGATGGTCTCAAAGTAGAGCGGCTTCATACAGGGAAAATCGGTGGTATGTTGCGGTGTGGTAGCCGTTCTTAAATTATCTCTCCTTGTTGGGTATGGTATGGGTCTATTTATTTAGATTATTGTGAGCACAGTAGTTGTTAAATTGAGACTACTAGATTGTTAATAAATCTAAATTTTTACAAACCACTCTCGTCTGTATTCGATTACACCCGAATGACGCCATAATAGGTTTCCTGATTTATACACAATCACATTTATTCATGTATTTATTAACATGATTTATTCAGCTTTTTACAACGTTTCGTAGCTTATGCTGCGTCTCCATCATTAGGTGCCTTCTGCAATGCCGTATCTAACAATTTAATACGTGTTCATGTAATAATAATTGTATTATTACATTTTAACTCTCATGGGTTATTTTGTATTTTTATATTTTCAATTTATTCCTGTAATTGTTCTACCTGATTAAATGGTTGAAGGCAAATAATATGTATTTTGATTTCGTCAAATTAAATGCACTATCTATAGTTTATTAGGGTCAGGAAGTGCGATGGTTTTTGGCCTTATTTTTGTGCATTTTCAGTTAATAATAAATCTTATTGTTCATGTCTTAATATATTAATTCTGACAAGAAACATTAGAATGTACGTAAAACATACGCATACATTAAATAATCAAGCTGTCATTGAGACTTGCGGATCTACTTATTTAACTCTTACAGAAATATTTTGCATTTTTGTACTGCTGTGTTTTAAAAGATATACAACGAAAAGAAAACAAGGGAAAATAAGCCAGGTATTTTTGAAGGGCTAACAATCACGTTCCTCTCTCCTGATTCCCTTCTTTTCTATTTTTTCAGGATCCGACCTTCTTTATGGTTCTTTGATATTCTTCATTTGTCACATACAGACTAAGTATATCCTTTTCGAACATTTTACATCTACTTTAAGTCGGTTCGGATATGAAGGACATATTTCTCTCCTTTCTCAATCTATTGAGCGACTCCTTCAACATCGAGGACCGTCTCCTCGTATTTCAGCCCCACGCCCCCCCCCCCATCCCATCGAATGTCTCTCTCTCTCTCTCCCTCTCTCTGTCTTCTCTCTCTCCTCTCTCTCTCTTTCTTTCTTCTTACTCACTAATCCATCCCTGTGTGAAGTGAGTCTACACCAACGGCAGTGCATAACCGTCCCTGTCAGTTCTTTCGCCATGTTATAGCAATCAGATTGCAAGGATTTGTTTACTTTGCCGCCTATTAAATTCATTCGTAGTCGTTCTAGAAGCGCGCAAATAACTGCGAGAAGCAGAAAAGGTGAGTTTGGAAGGGGATAATGTTTAGTTGAAGGAGAGGCGCCGAACATAGTCAACACTTCTCAGTTGAAGTTAATGTTTTTCTTTATTGATTGGTGATTCTCGGCGCGTCAAGTGAAAAGATCATTATTCCTGTACGTATAGTACAAATTTTTTTTTCGCTGGAGATGACGGTAATCTTCTCCCGGTAAACAGCGAGATTCGGCACCGACCTACACGTCGTGTCTTGGAGTTTTTACCCAACCAGGTATCTGCCACCAACAGGGCAATGCCCCAGCCGGGGCGCGCGCCAAGCTCCCGCCTAGTTTCTCGACATGTGTGGTAGTGCAGTGCATATAAGTGTAAATGTGGTGTAAGAATAGAGCGACGATATGGGAAGGAAGAAGAAGGAATGGTTACGCGAGGTATGTGGCCCATTTTTTAGGGTACTACTCCGGCATTCACGTGGTGTTGATCGGAGAAACCATGGAAAACGACCAATCAAAGCAGCCGTTTAATGTTTTGAAGGTTTCCTCCATCCGTCACTTGGTAGACACTGCAACGTGCGTGGTAGAGTGCGGCAACAACGCGTCGTCTGGCCGTGACGCTGGCGGTGCGCGCACGAATTGCACGTGAGCGCGAGGGCGTTGTAGCGGATCCATTTTTCAAACGAGCGGGCGAGCTCGTTGTCGCGCCGCGCCGCGCAGCGCCGCCTCGTCGTGTCGTCGACAAAAGAGCGCGATCACCGCGCCAATTTAGCGGAAATTGTGCCCGTGTTGTGCGGTGTATTAGTCGCAGAGGGGAACCCGCGATGGGCTGGCCCGATAGGCGTCCTGCGCCCGCCACCGCCAACGCGCTGCGTCGCCGCCAGCGACCGCTCCGGCGCGGCCTCGGCGCGACACAGTGGTCGACTGGAGGCAGGTCAGGCTCTATTGTACACTCGAAGGAAATGTAAATTAAATTTTGGGTATTTGGATGTACGAATTTTTATTGCGATATCTTGGGTCGATGTTGTACGGTTATGTTGACTCAGCCAGAAGAGACAGAGGGGGGGGGGGAAGCTGGGGCAACTTCTCCTAGCCTCCGGTTTAATTGAGGACCCGATTTTTTTCATTGAATTGTAATAAAAAATATAATTATATCTAATCCAAATTTAACGCTATAAGTTATTTATGGTGTACAGAAAAAGGTATTCTATTTATGAGTTGAGGAGGGGAGAAAGTTTTGTTGGAAATGAAGGGTCCCCGTGGATCCACACCCACAGACCCTTAGTTATCTCTGGGCACCCCTGAGGTTCAGTATTGTGCAGTGTTGCACAGTGCGTGTAGTGCTGTTGTTCGGTGTCTTATAGTGTTTTTCGGAGTGTTATGGCGCTGTTAAATGTGTTGCCTATGGATCAGTGTATTGGAATTGTTTGGAGTGTTGCGATATTGTCCGGAGGGTTCCTGGGTTGTGCGGTTTACAATGGTGTTGTGAAGGGACTAAGAAGTGAAGTGTAGTGAAATGTGACAGTACTGTGGTTTTCTATTTCATGTTTATTACTTTTATTATTAGTAAAGAGTTGTTGCTTTTTTAATATTTGTAAAAAACTTACTTTGGTTAAATGCAGATGATGCTTGAAATATATTATTCAATTTAGTATTATTATCATGGTTTTGATAAATAGATCTTCTAGCAATAATTAATAGCTATTTATTTTATTTTTACTATATAATATACCAATTTATGTGAGTTGTTACGGTGACATACGTACATTTAATAAATTATTTAATGAGTTGTGCACTAAGTTGTGCATTTGATTCATTGAATTCTTTTCCTGTTTTACTATTTGTAGAAAATCAAACAGCAGTTTACAATTTACTTAAATTCTAATGCTTGTATTTCGCATTTTTATTGTTCGGAATTGATATGAATGATATTCGTACGTAGCTAGTATACTTTATTCATGCAAATGTACATTTGATTTTCGGCGATTGAACATTTTCAAATTGAGTATATAGAAGTATTGCAGTAGCCAAATTATGTTCTTTGTAGTAATATTTGAAGCATGGAGGCATTTGTTGTAATAGTTATTTACTATAAAATTATAAAAATTCAATTATAAAATATGATTATATTTTATAATATAATCATATTTTATGATATATTTTTTATAATATATAAATATTTATTATATATTTGAAAACACACGTTCCGATTTAAAGCATTACTGGGCCGCATTGCACATGCCACCATCATAATGAAGCCACGGAGTCTTAAATGCGACATTAATGCTCTAAGATAAAATAAGAACTGGTATCTAATTTGTAATTGAAAGAAGTATAATTTTCATTCTACTACATTTTAGGGGGAATATTTTTACATCAAAAATTACTGTACCTATTTCTATAAATGTAAAAAAATTATATAAGAAAAATAATGAAATGAAAAATGAAGTGGATATTCCAAATTTAAAATTCGTTGCAGGCACTAAAAAAACAATATAGGATTTTTTCGGAATTAGTTTGTATTTTTGATCAAATATAAAAAGGATAGTGTATAATAAAAAATGAACCAAACTTTAAATAAAAATTTTAACTGTAATGTTCATTTCATGACTCATCTAATCTTAATTAATTCACATTTCATGTTTCACATCATTCCAACGGCTATTGGTTTTGAGCGTTTAAATCTCTCGAAGAACATTAGCAACGTTAATTCATTCCGCATTATCTTCACTTCAATTTAAAAATCAAGTTGAATTGGAAATGTACTTGTATGTACAGTCGAATATGTACAGTATGACTAGTACGAAATGAATATTATCAAAATGATATACAGTATCTTTTGGTGTTGCATTTTAATTACAATTTTGTTGAAAGAGATAAAAAAAGCATTATATTCCAAAAAGTAACAGAATATAATATTAACATTCTGTTTACAGCACTCATGATAAAGTTTTTGTCATTTATTGTATGACATGTGTTTAAATAACATTAAGATTTTCATACGAAAGATAATCATTGTAAAACAATACCCGAACATTATTATCGTAATCAAGACGTAACAGGTGTGACGGTTCTGTATAGTTTGCACAGGATACAAGTATAACGTAGAATTGTATAACTTTATTAAAAAGTCCCCACCTCCTAATGAATACTATAGTCGTTTCAATGCTATTGATTCAGTAATTAAAAAGATAAAAGGAACTAAACAAACACGGCCCCCAAACACATTACCCTCCTTGCGCCCCATGTTCTACTTCAGCTTTTGTGGACTTGACATCCGAGCACTGTGTCCCGCCGCCGCCGCCGCCGCAGCAGCAGCAGTCGCCGGGGGCAGGAGGGCCACTTTGCATGCATCGCCGTTTCATTCTGCGCCGAACGGTTTTCGATGAATTGAAACCGCCGTAAAACGAGGTTTAAAGCGCACTTTGCGGCTCGACGCGTAGAAGACTGCCGGTGCGACACGGCGCGGCGCGTGTCTCATTTATTGCCATCTCCGCACGCGCCGGTGCCCTCCCCCGCCCCCACGTGGCGAGAGGACCTGTCGTAAAAGACGGCAGTTCAGCGATTTGTTCGACGCCGATTACATGGTGTTGGCGTCATGGATTTAGAATCATACGCCGCTGAATGGTTGAATGAATGGCGAAGTGTTGTACGCGAGTCTTCGTTTCATTAGGGGTTTGACTGTTGATGTTGCCTTTAAATACTAAGTCTCTCGAATTTGGTTATTCCATTGCGTATGCTGACGTGCAGATGGATACCTATGTAATTGGTGATAGATTGTGGATGGATCCATTGTAATTGCCAATGCATGCAGAAAAAATGCATCCTACGGATTTGAGAGAGGTGTCCATGGTTTCATTAGATTTCGAAGAACTCAGGAAAATCGAAAAACAATGAAAATATTTTTGTTTGGAAAATGCAAATATGTCATTGTTATTCTTACTATTGCATATTACGTGTACCGACTGAATTAAGGTGATAGCTATAAGAAAGGCCCATATTCCAAAATTGCTTTGAGAAACACGCATTGGAAGTTTTAGTTCATAGCATTCTGTTCACTGGTACATTTAATTGTAAATTACATATTATTTTAATATATTAAAATTAATTTTTAACTTACCTTCATTTAGATAGTAATTTAACTCTCCCTAATTTCAAACATGTGGCGTAAAGAAAAGAAATGCTTTATAGGCTCTTCTTCTGGAGAACACTTCATATTTATTACTGAAATGATGTAAATTATAAATATAATTAAAATTGTACTTGCTTTTAGGATTATAAACTGCTAATACATATCATAACGCGGTTTGTTACTTATTTTTTTACCCCACAGTTCATCTTGTGAGCTATCAGATTCGGATTCATTATGTTGACATTTCCAGTGACACTTCTTGACGAGAACACTCTTCAAAACGTTTTGGTAAACATTTTTGCTCTTTTCCTTTAAGTAGCCATATCAGTCCCGAGCATAAGTAACATTTGCCTAATTAAGTGGAAAGAAGGGTTTATAGTCCAATGGACCCTAGTAGCTGCCCATCATTTCAGATGTGCCATAGACAAAATGTTGTTGCTTTCAATTTTGAAAATTATTTAAATTTAGTGAAAATTACAAAATAGGCGAGTTACCTAGGTTTTGGTTTCAAGCAGTTTGTTCCATGAAGTTTCACTGAAACCGTTATACAATATCTTTTCACGTTCAGAAACCACGAGTTCATTTGCATGGCAATAAAATTAGATATCTGCAATAAAAATTAACTATGAATTTGAAATTCGTTTCTAAATAACCACGCCACGTAAAATAAGGCATATTCAATTCAATTCAATTCAATAACAAAATATAATAGCTTTGAACTTTTTACTTATAAAAGCAATGAATATTTCCAAAATCACTTGTAAGATAATTTTAATTTACTTGTGAATGAATATTTAATGATTGAGCAGAGTGATTTACGGTAAACCATTATTCGAATTTTAATAATTAATGTGTTAACAGATATCCAAAATTTCATCGTAATGAAATATTTGTTGGTGTACGAAGGTCAGCTGGAGCATTGTTGATGATTATGAATAATGGATGGTAATTTTGAATTGATTTGTTCGTACTGTTGGATTTGCCGCAGTGGAGGTCATAAATTTGCGTAATTTTTGCACTGTAATTTACGAGGTAGCGCAATCGATCGCGGCGTCTGCATTGTTTGAATGAAGAGTACTTTAACGTTTGCATAACCCGTAAGATATAAACTTTAATGTGCTTCCGAAGAATATTGCTTCTCATGTTGTTCACGCCTTTTCCAATGTACGTCTCACGTAGAGACCTATCAGTACCTAAATCCTTCGATGGAGATGCCTCCAAAAGAAAAATTGTATTAAGAACAAGAAGACTGAAGAGGCTTTCGAAAAGAAGATCGAAGGGGGGAAGAGAAGATATTTTATGCTATATATTGTCAAGCTATATATTGTCAAAATGTTAAGAAAAGAAAAAACAAGGGAAGCAGTGGAGCAAAAGAGGAGTTTGAGAATAGTAACAAGGAAATAAAATTACGTGAAAAACAGAGTAGTAAGGTGATAGTTGAAAGATTAAATCGTGACCACGATGATAAAAGAGAAAGGTGTGAGGTCAGAAAAGGTCGAGAAACATAGAATGGAATCAAATATCAGAACAAACAAAGGGAAGCTGAAGAAGGTGTATAGGTCCAGTCTCGTGAGCGATTATTATCAGACTCATTTCTGCCAACTGACGTTGGGAGTTGTGGACGTTGGTGATATGTAAAATCATTCATATTCATTTCACGAATGTTGACCAACTTGTGCTGTGACTATGGTACAAGTAAGACACCATTTTTAATTCCGCCGCCCAAAGAATGTTTGCAAGATAATATTTATTTTTTGTTGCTAGAATGAATGCTAAATGTTTAAAACAATTATTTACATGAATTATTTTTAATTTTAAATTGATATATTGCGAGTTTAACTGAAAACGTGATAAAATGAATAGCGTAGTTTCTTTGGTATTCGACAGTTGTGAGCTGTGCTTTTATGTTCAACTTGCGTAACTTCTCTTTTAATTTCTCTATCAGATAATTCATTTAAATATTTTCACATAGTTTCTGAAATGTTTTGTATACACTTTTATAATACTATTTCTATTGACGACACCAAAACAAACTTGTGAAAACTATCCTTCATCTTGGACTACACTTACTGAAATTAACAGGGTATAGGAATTGCAACTTTCGAAGCAGGTATAAACAGACGCTGTTGCAGATCTGACTGGCGGAAGAATACATTTCGCGTAGCGATGCGGTCTTCTACGACGCTCGACAATTTTACAACCTGTTAAAGTATTCGCCTTCTGATCTACATCGAAAAGAGAGATGGAACTGTGGATGATTCTACAAAATGCAAAGCTAGGGGCGCTAGTGTCGGTCAATGTGGTTTTGCGTAACGTTTGCCAACTTTACCCGATAAAACTTTGACGTATTTGTGGGAAATATGAAATACGCTGAAATAAGGTTTTATATTATGACTATTCCACTGGTAAAATTAAAACCAAGTGAGGTTAGCTATACATATATTCATCGATTTTTTTAACAAGGCGTATTCAAGGTCACGCATGAAAAAGAGAGGGAAGGCAGACTCCAATAGGGAACCGTAATGTAACCGATATGTAACAGTCGTTGTGTGGATGTGCAATAAACCGCGTATGTACCATAATATTATACCTTTGATTTTGACCACCCTTTGATTTTAACATGATTTCAGTTATTTTCAATATTTGGCGTATTTTGAAACTTTGTTGGGCGTAATTTTATTTGTCACAGTAGTGGAATAGTCCTATTAAATACCACTTGTGCTTTGGGAATTCTTAGATAATTCCTCTCTTCGTTTCGCGAGATGGGTATTTATCGATACTTTCCACTGCTCTCCTGGTTATACCAATGATAATTAACATTACATAAAAAATCGTGGCTGTGTAATTCACGGACATCAGCTCTGGCTTTTCCCACATGCCTGACCCGTGCCCCATCTCTATAATGTTGACTTCAAAATTTGACTTTTAGTTCCTGCAAGAAGGTGCAAAGCCAGATTGCGCCAATGCAAGCGCCGCCTCCAGTTTCTGTACTCCTATTTAAACATAGTGGCACTTAAGGGTTATAAATTGGACGGAGAGGGGGACGCTGTCATCCAATCGAGAGCTTTGTTACGAATTTTTGGTTCTGAAGCACTTGATTGAATGACATTGTCCCCACTCTCTTTCCAGCCGTGACTTCGAAGTGCCACTGTATTTAAACAGGAGCACGTGATAGTTGTAGAGCGTGCGTCGTACCTGCGGGTTGGTCCGCGCTGCCGTCGTCCCTCTCGACCGGGCTGGGCGCGGGCACCAGGTTGAGCACGGAGAAGGCGGCCTGGAGGGCGCGGTCGTGGCGCTCGCCCCCCGCCGCCGCCGCCGCGTCCCCCTGGCCCTGGCCCTGGGGCTGGCCCTGCTCAGGGCTCTCGTCGTCGGAGGTGCTTAGGCCCGGCACGCGCCGGCCAGCCAGCGCCGCCGCCGTCGCCTCCCGCAGCTCCCTGCAACGCCACGCCCACACGAGCGCTCGCACGACACACGAGTACGTATTCATTACGTCTAGTAAATTGCGTTAATGGAATACGCGTGGAATGTGCTGTAGAGGACAGAGTCAGCAACCGGTAGCCCTCAGACTAACCATGGACCGTGACGTAAAGCCAATGTTGCGCAAAGAAATTAACATATTATTTAAATTCGCGGACCTCATTTCATATTTTGAATGAAACATCTGTATTTAAGAACTTAATAATCTAATATGTAATCTAAATTTAAGAATAAATTAAGTTAAGCTTTATTACATTATTAGTAAAATACAACTGGACCATTATATTGAATTGATTTGTTATAAAATACTTTTGAGACTGCCAAAACATCTAACTAAAGGCCGTATGTGTGTCTAATTTGCACAGACACGTTAGGCTATTGAAAGTGTATATTTGTTATTATATCCGACTAATATTGCCTGATTGTACCATAATTAAGGAAATGTATAATAATTTTAAGCCCATTTCACAGACACATTCCATGATACTAGAATTGAAGTAATGTAATTTTGGTTGAAGTAGGGTACACGGTACACCCTTAGAGAAGCGTGGTAGCGGGGAGGGGTCTTCTTAAGTCCTCCCTTAAATTACACCACGCGCTCTGATAGAAATGAATAAAACTTACGGATAGGTGATTTTTGTGGCTCACCCTCCATGCGCTTTGCCCCCGCCACAATGTAATGCCAATTTACTTTCAAAGGCTAGTTTTTATGCTTCGCTCGCGGTTCGAAGTCACGTCGAGGCTCGGGACTGGAGCCCTCGCGTTCATCATAAACATCCTGAGTTTATCCACCGCATAATTACCAATTCAGTTTTATAAAAAAGCACTTTTCAAGAAAGCCTTCAGAATTCAAACGGTGCAGTTGCCGCCGGAGCGGCACGAAGTGTCAGTTTAAACTCCCGTAAGTTGTACCATATACAAGACTTCAGCCGTAATTTTGTATAATAATTTGTAATAACCGTTATGAGTAGTAGGAATCAATGTAAACTTTTATTTTCAATAAATTGAAATAATAAGTATAATTTGAATATTAAACTTGCAACAATAAAAAATTATCGGCAACTCCTCCAATATTTTTCTCTGTAAAATTTTGTTACTGGGCTTGTTACTTACTTACAGGCTGGCTTACTTATTTTGGTACGGAGTACTTGTACAGATGGTGGTTTACAAACTTGAACGTGGTAAGGGGGTCGGGATTAGTTAGTTGTTTGTAAAGCAAAATCGCCAATTTGACATGTAGATTGGGTTCGAGATTGACTCTCTCCGCTAGCACATTTCCAAGTCAACGGAGGGGTTGCGGCCTCCCCCCTCCGCAATTGACGTAAAACGTCCTTGAGGTCAGCCAACACGAAATTTACAACGAGTTCTACGCTAAAATTCGGATAGGACTTCAATTTACAGGTTTCATACGCGTAAATGCGTACTACTAAAGTATTCTTACGTTTTAAATAAAATGCAAACTCACCTTTATACTCGATGAATTATGAATATTTTATTCGTACACTTCCCTCCATCACGCATGTTTCACCAACGATATTTCACGATATTTCACCAACTGGTATTATAAAAAAATGACGGAAGTAATTGGTTGGGAATAATTGAATGTAGGGTTTTTACCAATTAGCAGTTCATTGAGAGAACCACTGGGAAGTATCGGGTAGATAATGATGCGCCCGAGTGTGTGATAAAATTTTACTCCTTTCTTGAACCTATTAAGAGGGAGAACGTCTAATATAGACGCGCCCAAGAAGGTCATGATCAATGCATTTGTTCATATTATATGGGCGCACTCTATCGGAGAAAAGAATGGGAAGGCATCGAGATATTCTCCGAGACTCTGATGGGTGTGAGTCAGTTCTCATGTTTTGATGGCAATAAGTTTCTACCTAATTGAGATTAGTTCTAAAGCCACTACCAGGTTAGTGGATCAGATTAGATGAACACTAGGTCGCGTTCGGGATTAAAGCTCTTATGTATATGACAGAGTTGCTCTTGGACCCTCTCTGAGTATGTAGAGCCATTACAATGATATTAAGTCAAAGGTAGGCCTGTCGCAAATAAATTATTCTCTAGACAACCTCAAATGAAGGTCGTCTAGGTTTCAGGTTTCAGGTTCCTCGTCTAGGTTTCAGTAATAGATTTTGATTAATAAAAATACGTTCAAAGGTATATTTCGAAAAAAAGATGCAAATACGGCTTTATGAAATGGTAAAGTTATATAAACGAAACTTATTTCTCTAATGAAAGTTAATGAAAAATACCAACTTAATATAGAAAAGGGGTAAAGAGGAAACTATGAACACGATATGCGAATCCCGGGTAACTATTTTCAACGCAATGTTAGCAAGCATTCTATTCCTATTATTCTCATTACAACACCTTTCGTGTCCGTTGGCAAATTTCCAAGGATCATTCCAACGAAGTTCTTTGAAATTCAATGTCTGGCCAGCTCCTGTTCCTTGGAACCGCCGCCCGCGCACCGCAACACCAGTCATTTATTATGCCCAGAGCGTTGCGACGCGTGCGGTTGGCGGGACTAACTGGATTGAAACTGGAGTGAAATGAGGCGTCCCGTCCTTTGTAACGGCTCTCCATTAGCCCCTGCGCCCACTCCGCCGATCGCTTTAAGCGGAGAGCGCGATTGTCGCTGGCCCTCGGCGGTGGCAGGCCGCCTCGCGAAGTTTCATCGGCTGAAGGCACGGAGGCGCGGCGGTGGAATGGAACTCGTAGATTAGTTTCCGAGAAAGAATAAAACGGTGGAAATGTGGGCAACTTTTACTCGCGGAGAAACAGTTCAGACTGGTTCGCGTGCCACATGATTCCACTTGAGAAGAATGCTATTTTAGTTGCAAGTGGTTTTTGTTTGTGTATTTAAATGTAGTGTCGAAGGTTTTCGTTCAATGTGATTGTGAAGGTATTCTATTTCTATACAGGTGAATTAAATACAACTATGGAGGATCTATAATTTCGATTTGTTCTGCTAATATAGAAGTATTTACATTTGTACGATATATCGCGGAATGTGGGCCTGAAACAAAAAAAATGCGACCAAAACGTGTAAATGAATACATTTTATAGAAAGTAGTCACTAATAAGCAAGAAATGTGCTTTTTTTCGGGATATTTTTTTCATAAGCGTTAAGAAGTAAGTTATCTCAGGGCCTGTGCATTAATGCTAATTTTTAAACCTCTAACATTGGCACTCAGTGAGGGGTAATTTACTCGTATAAGACGAGGTAAGAAGTTGGCTTCATGTGTTTGTATATACAATAATTTTTTTCGAGTATGAAAATCATGTCATCTAGCCACGGAAATATTATGAATAAGGGTAATGTAGTACAATTCAATTATTAAAATATTTAATTCTGTTAATAGAAAAGAAAAACTATTCCTTGATTCTTCATCTACAATTGTAGACTACCATGAAAACGAATAATTACTTGACAATTTTATTTTTTTCAGTGATATATTAGTTTGGCAGTTTGTCATAGAAAGAAATATTATCATTAAATCTTGAATATTTGTAAAAATTACAATGATGTGTTGGGTTTTGTTAACTATAGTGATGATAGCGAGGCTTTCTTTCTCAGATTCCTAAGATTGTGTTTTCCTCCCGCACCTCCTTTTCAGGCCATTCCCTGGCCACCTTTCGGGTCTTAGCTATACGGCTTGGAGGGGGAGCGCAGGGAGTCTAGACTGCTTTAGAAACTTTCCCTCAAATGACGTGTAACACTTTCAAAAATACGCCCGTTTCACGCAATTTCCCAACATAAAATATGTCTACTACCAAGGATTACATCAACCAACATAAAAACAATTGATTGATTATTGGAAGATTTATTACTATGATCAACTAACAAATCTATTAATATCGTAAGTGTAGGATTTGTTATATTCACGGAGGGGACGGCGTTCTTTCCCCGTTGGAACATGAAATCCACTGTCGGCTCACATGCCAGATGTCATTTTGTCGTCATTTTCCAATGATCTTCCCGACAATTTACATTTGATTTTTTTTTTGAGAAGCGAGTTTCTTCTATTTTATTCAACATAAATGAAAGACAGAAAGTAAAGAAAACTGGATATTGAGTGACCACTTGCATTGCTATGAAAGATTTAATGTTGCGAGAGTAAGATACTAACAAGGTAGAAGAAAGGTGTGAAGACCGAAAGTTAAGAAAACTAGTAAATCGAAGAGGTAGTGGTGTTATTTAAACGTTAAGCAATCAAACTTTATCAAGTTATTTGTAAACAAAAACTATTACGATATTCTTTGTTGGACTACGATATTCTTGGTTGTTTTGTTGTTTTTACTTGAAGTTTCACGCCCAACCCATTTGTGTAATATTTGGTGTTGAAAAGTTTAGCGGGTGCATTAGAGCTCATCTGCATATTTAGATTTCATACATTTGTCCTCGAGATTGCAATGTGGTAGACAAATTATATCCTTTGTTGAATTGATTATACCCGAACAAAACTAAATAAAAGTTCACGAATGTCTCATTCAAATAAACAGTTAACAAAATGCAATTGAACGAATCAGTACAAGAGCTATTTTGATTGGAAAAATACACTACTTTTGAAGAAAGAAGAACTAAACGTTTTGTTTAGCAAGTTGTGGCAAGCGTGCTATAAAGCAGGGCAGCTAAAATGAGGTGCTCACTTGGCGTGTCCTAGCCCAGCACTGCGTGCAACCGTTGTGGCCCGCTTTTTATTCCGTCAGCCTGAAGGAAAGAGTTGGGTGGCGCTCTGGCCCGTCAGCCCTAGTCTATTGAAAGACGAATGGGAGCCTCTCGCCGTCGGCAATCCGGCCCAAATTCCTGCATTTGAGCTACCCTGCTGTCGAGTATGCGCCCACATCTGGCGCTATCGAGAGACTCGCTTGGCAAATGACTTAGCGAATTCCCTCTGCACCCCACGGCAATAGATGGGATGGCGATTGCCCGCGTCAGCTGTGGTCTAGTGAAAGGTGAATGTAAGGGGCCACCACGGGTAGTCGGAATATAATTCTTACATTTGAGCAGTCCTGCTGTAGAGCAATAGTCAACATCAGGCGCTAGTGAGCGACTCGCTTTGTGCACAACTCGCCCAACTCCCACTGAGCCCGACGAGACGAGATGCACGGCGCTCGGGTGCGTTAGCTCTGTTCTAGCAAAAAGAGAATGGAGCGGGCTACTGTGGCAGTCTTCTTGCATTTGAGGAGCCCTTTTAAAGATAACGGACAAACGTTCAGGGTCTCACTCGGTGAACAACTCGTCTAACTCCCTCTCCGCCCGACGGGACCAGATAGGCGGCGATCAGGCGCGTCTGCTCTAGTCTAGTGAAAAGCGAATGGGAGCTGCCCACCGCCGGCAGTCCGTCCCGAATTCCTGCATTTGAACATCTCAGCTTGAAAAACATGGGTTCAAGTATAGCACTTGCGAATGACTCATTTGACGAACATTTCGGCGATGTCCTTCTTCGCCCCAGGGGAGGAGATGGCGCTTGGGAGCCTCGGCTCTAGTCTATTGAACAGCGAGTGGTACGGGGCCACCGCGAGCAGTCTGTCCCGAATTCTTGCGTTAATGCAGCCCCTCCGTCTAGCACGTGCCAACGTTCATCGCTAACAAGCGGCTCAGTTAGTAAAGGACTCTGCGGATTCCCACTGCGGACTCTAAATGGCGTTCTGGGACAACAGTTCTAGGGTGAATGGAATCGACTCACCGCGGGCATCTTAGCCCCGATACCCGCATTTGAGCAGATCTGCTGAAAAGCACAAGATAACGTCCAGTGCTAGCAAGCGACTCAATTTTCGAAGCACCTCTCAGCCTGGCGCGAATCTAGCATTAGCGCAGGAGCCCACTTCTAGCGCTAGCGAGCGACTCACTTGGTGAAGGACTCCGTGAACTCTCTTCGCGTTGGAATAGCGCCCTGACACAACAGTTCTAGTGTAAACGGAAACGACCCACCGCGGGCATATTGGCCCGAATACGTTAATTTTGAGCAGCCTTGCTGAAGAGCACAAGACAAGACCAGTGCCAGCGAGCGACTCAATTTTCGAAGCACCTCTCAGCCTGGCGCGAATCTAGCATTAGCGCAGTCCTGCAGGAGCCCACTTCTAGCGCTAGTGAGCGACTCACTTGGAGGACTACATGACCCACCGCGGGCATATTGGTCCGAATACATCAATTTTGAACACAAGACACGACCAGTGCTAGCGAGTGACTCAATTTACAAAGCCCCTCTTAGTCTGGCGCGAATCTTGCGTTAACGCAGTCCTGCAGGGACCCACTTGTAGCGCTAGCGAGCGACTCACTTGGTGAAGGACTCCGCGAACTCCTTCTGCGCGTGCGTGCGGTTGGCGCCCCAGCAGGCGACGGCGAGGTCGGGCGGGCGCGGCGGCGGCAGCGGCTGGCGCTCGGCGCACGCGGCCAGCACGCGGCGCAGCGTGGCCGCCAGCAGGCGCGTCGCGCCCTTCACCAGGTGGCGGTCGACGCGCATGGGGCGCGGCCGCAGCGCCAGCAGCAACGTGCAGCGCGTCGCGCGCCGCCGCCTCCAGCGCCGCGCCCGCCACGCCGCCTGGCCGCCGGCCCCGCCGCCCGCCGCCCCGCCGCCGCTTCCGCCGCGCCCGCCGCCGCTGCCGCCGACGCCCGCGCCGGCGCCCGACGCCCGGTCCTGGTACGGCCAGCTGCTGCCGCCGCCCCTGCAAGCACACGCAATCTCTTCGCAAGCGGGTTGGCGCCGCTGGGGTTGGAGGGTGCGTCTCGCGCATGCAGGTGTTTGGAAGATACTTCATGTTGGCGTTTTTACGTTTTGGGTTTAGAATTGCGGCCACACGAACTGCTGGACGTTTTGCTTGGTGAGTTTCAAATTTTTGGATCTCACGAAATGATGTCGAATTCTTTCAATTTATTGCGCAACGCTGACTTGGTAAAGCTTTTCTTCAATAATATTTTTTTTATTTAATGTAGATATTGTTTACCGAATATTAATATAAATAGTCTTCAAGTAAGTGGTATTTGTTACATGTTTTTGAAATGATTTTTCATGAAATAGGGATTCACATTGAAAACGTTTTCAGCGTTATACTGTTGGATACAAAATGACAGATTATATGTCAAAGAACTTGTTCGTCAAAAAGTAAACATATTTTTCCCAACAATTTCCACCTACATATGTTATGATCATAAAAAATAACAATGAAAACTATATTGAAAGGAATGCGCATTGTAGAAATAAACATTCGTAGTGTCAAATTTTAAAAAAAATCGTCCGTCAATTTTTGTGGCCATCTCTATTATTTGCATTTCGTATATATTAACATGGTCAACTTATGAATTATAATGATATTCTTTAGATGATTCTTGGGGTGAGTTGGTGCTTGTGTATCTCAATATTCAGTATATTTTTCTTTTAATTCATATGATATATCATCCAAAACACTATTCATTTTCTTCTGTGATAAATGTAAATGGTAAAATTCGTTAATTTTAATGTTCAAGTGACAGTTATAAATAACAAATGCTAGGACTGCGGTAAACAATTATTTGTTCCTATGTATAGGAATACTGTGGAAAGAGGAATACAAGATATTAAATGGTCTGTAATAAATATTGTGAGAAAATGTTTCAGCTATTTCGTGTAATAATTCAATTTTTGAGTTTTTGTTTCTTACAGTATCATTCTTATTATTACAATGTAACGTAATCTTTTGAACACAATAATTTGAATCTTTTGAACCAAATGTGCAAAAAAAATTAATCTAACAGTAGTTTACATTAGAATCAATTACATTCAAATCTTAAACTTATATTATAAACTTATTGAGTCAGTGTTGACAAAAAAATCGCAAAATGTTATTCTTTTGGAGACATTTGAAGAAAAGTATTTGATTATTCAGTTATAATTATTTATACTTTACTATGAATCAGTTAATGTACGTATTATCATGTGTCACGATGCAAATGATATCATTAGCGTATTGAACATTTAGTGTTAAATTAACGAGTGTAAATTTGCAAAGATTGTGTCAGTGAAAATAGTAACATCTGTTGAATGATTTGACCATGTAAGAATATTTTAAAAAGAAAACTAAGTGAAGTGAATGAAATATGTACTATTCTTTTTTTTGGCATTCATCCAAAGCTAATTATTTTGTTTTACAAGCTTAACGACCTACAAATTATATTTATTTACTTTTAAAAAGCACTGGATTACAAATTGCACCTGAGATAAAGCGAAACAACTTCATAATTACTGTAGATGGGTGTTGCTCGCGATTATCTGCCAGAGCGGCCGCGTTTCGTTGATTGTCATTATATTATTCTCATAAACATTACATGCCAGCATGCAACACGTGGCCTCTACATCACAGGAAATGGCTGTTACATTACTCCTTTTCTCCTCGGTGGCATGGAATATCCACACGCAAGATACGCTGCATTCTCGTTCAGCGGATCTTAACATTTGCAAGCCCCTTTCTGCTCAGGAATGTAATGAAGGCACGGCTACCTTGATTCATTCCACTCTTTAACATTTCGCATATCATTGCATTGTGTTCGGCGATGAATTCTTAAGAACTAAATTGTAAGTTCCATTGAATTTTGTGGAAAGGTGCAACTAAACTTTCTCAAATATGAAAAAAGAAAGATAATGAAGTGTCGAGTGAATTAATACATTTGTATTTTATGTTATTTATATTTTTCCAGGAATTCTGAGATAACGTATTTGGTTTGAAGTACAAAATTAAAATATAAATAAGACATTTGTTAGCAAAGAAGACGGCAAAGATACAGGAATAATGACAATTTCCTCACTTGCATAACAAATTTTATACTAACAGAATCTTACCACTTTACGTTCTTTACTAGTTTGAAGGAATTGTCCAATGAACAATGATTTTGTAGATGTATCTCATTTGAGAAACCTTAAAAGCAATTCAGACATCAAACATTTTTGACGTCTCCATTCTATATCTATTCGCAAATCAGTCACACCAAATCTTTATTATTTTATTTATGGTCGTAATAGCTAAAACGTTTGCATTCAGCGTGATAAAAAAATATTGGTATTGTGGCGAGTTTTCGTTAGCATTTACAATGAAGCACTTATACTAGTCGTCATTGCCAACAATATTGTTTATTACAATAGTAGCTTTCGACTCCTTTTGTGGCTTCCATACAGCAAAAAACTGATGATGATGGCTAAGCCAACGAAAACTGCTATTGTAAAAAACCATATTGTTGGCAATGACCACTCATAATTATTTCGTGATAAAAAAAACCAGAATCGAATTCTTCCCGAACTGAATCAACAGTTTTCCATTCAAATCCATCGCCTAAACCAGCAGTTACAATGATATGCGGGTCGCAGAACAGAACGTGCCCGTGCGGAGGCGTCGACAAAAAACGACGCGAGCAGCGCGCCGGCGCATGCGTGGATCAAAGGGCGCTGGGCAGCGGAGGCGCCTCCGGGCCGCGCCGGCGGCCGCGAGAGCGCTCTGCCCCAGGCACTCGCCGCCGGAGCGAGACGGGGGCTGCGGAGAGAGGAAAGACATTCACTCAAACGCAAGCAGTCCGCGCCACGGGAGGGAGGGCACTGACGCCGCCCTGGGCGGCGATTTGGGCGATTGCCTTCCGTCAGAGAATTCTAATTGGTTCGATAAATGAAAAATGATGTGCATTTTCATAATGTAATGTATTTTGGTGCCTGCAGGAAATAGCGGAAAAACAAGGTAGTCAGGCTTTACGTGTATAGAGAAAACGAATACTTAATTTCTTATCTACATATAATTTTCTTAGGGAAATAGAGGTCAAAGATGAGAGGTCAATGATGATCACTTAAAGATAATCATTTGCCAATGAATTTGTGGTGGGAAATCTCATGTAAGGAACCTGTAGCATTTTTGACATCGCGCTCTTGGTTAGAAGGTAACACATCCTACCCTGGTGTTTGGTAGATACATAACATATCAAAGCCCTTCTCTGAGTTATTTGGCCACTTACTGCGGTGGCTCAGGGTATCTGCTGGTGTCCCTGCAGTGTCTCTGACCGGGAGGTCCCAAGGTTCGTGTTACGACTGGGGCAGGAATTTCGTCACTAGCTAGGTGATATTCAGTCGCTGTCTGGAGAAAAATTGTAAGGCCGGCTGCTGTGATCGGTAGTTTTCCGTAGTTTCTTCGATCAACACCAGGTAAATTCTGAAACTGTATCCTAAGAAACGGTCCACGGACCTTGCGCAAACTTTCCTTCCTTTTCCTTCGCCTATCCTCACCCCTTACTTACATTTACACTACATTTCTACACATGTTGGTAGACGTGACGGGAGCTCTAGCTCGTCCCGGTTGAGGCGGTGTTCCGTAGGTGGAAGATACTTGGATGGGGAAAACCCTGTCAGGCGACGAGTAAATTGACCCCTGATTTTACATCTAGTTAGGAAAGAACACTGACATCTCTCGTGATAAAACATGCACTACTTTTACGAACTAATGATCGTGCTGTTGAAGTGCCCGGAAACACTAAATATTTAGTTACTTGGCAGCATAGTTGAGCCTTGACTACAAAAATTCATCGAAGTGTCGACCTTGAGGATTGCCGCATGCATGTGTACCTTTCAAACACCAGTGCAGGGTGAGTTGTCAGCCAATCAAGGACACGATGTTAGATTTGATACTTGCGTACCTTTGTTATATGACATTTTCCAACAAATTTCCGATGTCAAAAAGTGAACTTTTTTTACCTCTATAAATGTCATACAAATTTGTAACGCATTTTCTAAATCAGTCTATAATACGGTTTGATCCTATTAGGCATATGACAGCAATGATGCGAACAATTATTCAAAATACGAAGAAGCATTACTTGATATAAAAAGTATATTTGAAAAAAAAAATGTAAAACATGGTCTGCAATTTTTTATGATATAAAAATTTAGTTAAGAATCAGCCACAAAATGGTAAAAGATATGTTTTATTCTAACGTATCTGCCCGATTTAGTGAAAATACTCTGAGGTAACTGATTCTCCGATTGACTTCCTGAAAGTGACTGCGAAGTAGCAAGTTCTCCGCTTCGCCCGAGCGGCTGCAATATTCACTAGGGGCATTGTTAGTGCCCTCCCTGGTGCCCGCCCTGCGAGGCTGCGCGGACAGCCAGGGCCCCGGCGGGCGCTGCGCCGCGCCGCGTGGGTGGAGCGCTGGCCCTGGCTGTGTTGCAGGCCGCACGTCGCTCGCTGCGCGCTGACCGGCTGCCCCCCCCCCTCCCGGCGAGCGTTCGCTCGGAAACGTCGGGCTGGATAACGCGGGACGGGAGGCGCGTTCGCCGTCGCTTTACTCTTTTCGTTTTTTCTATCTTTTCCTCGTATTTTCTTTCCCCCCTTTTTTCGTTTTTTCCATTTCTTTTCTTTTTTCCCCATTTTTTTCTTTTTTCTTTCTCCTCTCTTTTTTCTTTCTTTCCCCTTTTTTCTTTTTCTTTTTTCTTGTTTTTGGTTTTTCTTTGTTCATTATTTGGGTTATTGATGCAACTAAGACTCCAACTGTACTGGACAATCAATAAACGTAGAAATATTCCGAGGGTTTTTACATAGAATAGATATAGTGTCTTCTTATTTTTTTAATTGTTTTCTTTGCTAGAGATATCGATGTAAGAACAATTCGTGAGCATAAAGTCGATAATTGTTCAAACTACATGCTCTTTGACACTATCTTTATTTTCTTTTTTACTTTGCTTTTCCCGTTTATTTCTTCTATTTCATATATTTTTCTTCTTTTATGTAGTTGTTTCCTGAATTCAACGAGCATATGAAATGTAATCATAAAGTGAAGAAAAACTTCTCTTTTCTGGCTAAAATTATTTTTATGTAGTTTTTCTTTTTTCTGAAGTTTTGCCTAGAGAACACGAGCATATTAAAACAGTTTCCTGAGACAATCTCATTCTGTACCGCGAAAACATATTTTTTAGCCATCTATATGGGATCTAGCTGAGATATTTTCCTTCGAATGAAAAGGTAACTGAAATATATCTTTACATTAAAAAATAATTTCAACAATTAAAAAATAATATATTAGTTTCAGTTTCCTGCGCCTGAAGGATTCGTTTTAAATCGTTCTTGATTTTTGGAAATCTGTTTTACCTGAGTTTCATTTTATTTGAGTATGTAGGTACTTTATCTCTGAAGGAACAGTTCTCATTTATTAAACCATTACTTCAAACTCTTCAGACTCCAATTCTTCGTGTGCTATTACCTTGTTCTTGGAAATAAAATTGAAAGGATTAATGCTACTATTCTCAGAAGAGACTTCATTATGCCGTGTAGGTCATCACTCATTAAAACAATTAGCATGATAACTAGGCGTTAAATAGAAATATAGAAAAAAGGGATACACATTGTACTAATCATCCTACAGAATTTCATCAATATTATTATCATAATATTTTGAAGCAATTAGTGTATTTCCAAAAACTGAGCTAACTGGAAACCGATACCATCTGATTTTTAATAGTTTTAAATTATCTCAAAATGAGGGAAAGAATTTTACAGAAATTTACTTCATTAAATTTTGTGAAGACCCTTTAAACATCACAGTTGCAAACTTTATTTGAGAATCAAATGGCAAGGGATAAAGTTTCGAATTTAACGTAGGGAGTCTTACGTTGTGCAGAAGATAACTTGCTTTTTGAATCTACTAATCACTTACCATCTGGCCATTTTCATTCATAAAGTAGCAAATTATGATTTTCCTTGCTGTTTATTATCGTAAATACATTTTAAACATTTGCAGAGAATAAGCATTGATATGCTTAATGCTATTTCTTTTATTTTCCATGAGCACATTATTTATTCTGTTCCTTTTACAAAGTAATCAATACATTTCAAATTATTGTTCATTTCTGAAAGAGCTATTTTTCAAACTGAAGGAATGGGGCATTTTTAAAGAAAAAACGTTAAACAAGTTGTTATTCCTCAGGTTTCAGAGTTATAGTATTTCAAGTTTTTTTTTACAATCTTGTTGTTATAAATATCGTACATGTTGTTGGATTCTAAGAAGATTTTTTTAGAGTAGACTTAACATAGAGAAATTGAAAAAAGAAATAGCTTGATAAATTTGGTCTTGGTTCAGAAGTATATGAGTGCAAATGATGATTCTCTCTAGATGCATAATTTATCGTGATTTATTTCAAATAGAAGAAAATATTTTCTTGACCAGAATACTTATTTAATTGTAGTGTAGCTTCTGACATCTTGATAGATTTCTGCACTTCTTGAAGATTCTTTTACATTTTAAAGATATTATGAATTGTGTGAATGCTTGAATGTGATCATAAGAGTTTAATTTAGTGCATTAATACTAGTATAATATGAGTAATAATATCGTGCTCTGTAATATGTTACGGTCAGTTGTGTATGATTCATTTGGGATAGATGTAATGACTTCGTTCATTGTGGTG